ATCCTTCTTGTCGTGCACAAGAATCAACCCATTAATTATGTTTTACAATAATGAAACGAAATGAAATGCTATTCCACTCCATTCTCATGAATTATAATCTTAAGCGGGCAAGGGTTTCACGATAACTAGTAATTAAGCCCAACCGAGCATCACCATCATTCCGCCATATCAAATCAGGCAAAACAATTGAACTTTTATAAAAACGATTACTCTTCATATCATAGAAATGATGAGATGCCTGTACTTCTGGTGAAGATTGAATGAAAAGCTCACCTGTGTGAATTGTACGTAAAGAATTCAAATGATGGTACGTCGACTCCCGCCAATGAGAGGGAAAATTGATAGTCTCTTTAGCCCACACTTGATTTTGGTAGTCCTTCAAAATCCATAACTCCAACATTAATTTCTGTGGCATCGCATCCTTGTCATCCATTAGAGCTAGACGTCCACCCACTTCAGCAATTGTCCAACAGGGATCACTACCATCATCTTCAGGAGTTGTGATGACCCTGAATCTCTCCTCTCCAAGGTCAAATACCACTATCCTACTCCTATCCTCACCATCTTGATATATCCAATGTAGGGCTCCATGAAGGCACACACTTTCCCCATACAAGTGGGAAGAAAGGGGATTAAAAGGGAGCTGATCGAGGTCTACCTCAATGCACCTCCATGAATCAGAACCCAAAGTCAAAATCTCGAGCTTTAAACTAAAGAGATTTGAAGTCCAATCATGGCACAATTGGACTTGGAGAAGCTTATACTCGTTTGTAAAAGGACTGAACCCAAAGTGGCCTTTAATCTGGAGTGTGTATTTGGACAGTGAAGTATGGGGGAGAATGATCGACTCTCCGGTGGAGGGATTAAATATATGAACGTGGTCCTCGGGGTCATGTTCATGGTGGGTTTTAGTGGCTACCGGTTTAGCAAAGTAAAAAATACAAAACAGGCCATTAGTACACTGATAATCATAGAGATGATAGTCAGGGGACAGTGTTAGAAGGTGGGTGGCAGGTGAGGTACTACCATCTCCATCTCCATCTCCATCTCCATCTCCATCTTGGTTGATTTGGACGGATAGCAAGTGGTCGTGGCCTGTGTCGCGGTCAAAGACATTGAGGAGGAGGTGAGTGTACCTGCTGTTGTTGCAGCGCAAGTTTCGGTGGACACCAAGAAATGTAGGGTTACCGGAGATGAGAGAGGACCATGACTTGCAAACGCACTTGAACCGCATCAGAGACTTAGCTGGTAGCCGTGGCAGTATAAGAAACCATATGATTTCACTTGGGAGCTCTGGAACTACTGATGGAACATGATCACCTTCAACTTCAGCTACTTCCATGTTTCTACTACTACCTACACTTGTAAGATCGGTGAATATTGTAACTGTTGAGAACATAAATATCTACTACCCAAAAAATTGCAAGAGCATTCATTTGGGCAATTTTCAATCTAACATACCAATAAATCAACAATAATCATAGCTTCCCATCTATCAATCATTTACTGTTCATGATTTGAAGCAAAATAGCGAAAAAACAAAAAAGAAATATGAGCAGTGGACAATATTCAATCAAACATATCAGTAAATCAGTAATAATCATAACTTTCCATCTATCGATCATTCACCACTCATGATTCTAGCAAAACAGCCAAAATAAACCGAGAAATTTTATTTTTGGTGCTAAAATGGACAGATAAATTGAATTTGCTTTCAGAGACTAAAAGTTTAAACGGTACCTGATTGATTTGAAGCTTTGGATGGCAGTGTGCGGCTATGAGTGGTGATGAAGGCGTGCAGCGGCAGAGGGTGGAGAAAAGCAGTGCAGCAGAGACAGAGTGGAGAAAAACCTCTGCTTGCTACAGACAGCCTAGGTTTCTCTGCTATTAACAAATTTTGACGGATTACGGTGAAAATTAACAGAGACTAATTTTCAAGTTTTTTTTTTTTTTTTTTTTTTTTTTTTTTTTTTTTTTTCTTTTTCTTTTTCTGTTACGATATAATATAATGGATATGTTGATTGATCATCCCGCTCTGCAATGGGAAATTTTTTTACAGTACAGTAGTAGTTTTAGAGAAATCAGGGGGAGAATATAAATAAAAAATTGTTTGGGGCACCATTAGAATGTAATGTGGCAAATCAATTAAGTATTGAGTATTATTTTACATATTATTCGTAGCAACGCAATCTACAGTTACAAATACAATATGCATAATCTACAATCAACTCTGAATTATAGAGCTAGATTTAGAGGACATGGCAAAAGGCCAACAACTTAGCTTGGCGCGCACCAAGATTACAGCAGCACCCCCTTTAATTATGAACAACAACTCTTACTTCAACAGATAGATAAAGCGCTAAACAAGACATTGGGCGGAAAACGTGTTAAAACAACTCATATATACTACTAATACTATAATACTGTATTGTTTACAAAGCATAGATTTTCTCAAGGTCGGAGTTATAGTCATCATCAAGATCTGAGATGTTTGCTGAGTAGACTGACCACGAGAAGGACTTGCTTCCACTGGCCCTTTTGATGCGCCGTTGAGAGTCGCGCCGGAAACCCCCAAAGTGTTGCCGGAAAACAAAGTAGCACATGCTTGCAAGAGTTCCAACAAGCATTGGCACTCCCATAACGGTTATGGTAATAGCCATCCATGAACTCCCCTCTCCGACGACCACAAAGGCTATCGCCAGAAAAGCCCCACAAGTGCAAGCGCAGGCAGCCCACATTAGTTTGTTAACCACCGACACCACTTGCTTCTGAGCCCCTGTCTCCCAGGCCACCAAAGTGATCTGAACCACAACAACTGCTAGTGACATGAAAAGAGACGTAGCATTTAACAGGTAGAACACTTTGAAACCAACACTACGAGCTATGTTAGCATTCCCTGCTTCTGGTCCTTCATTTACATATTGGCCAGGCAAGTTAAACATGGCCAAGAAGGCTATAGACGCAAACAGAACAGCAACTACTGTAATAGAATTGGTAGTGTTCTGGACAGCTTCTCTATGAAGTTTCTTTAGTTCTTTGGCAATACCAGAAACTCGCCGTCGAGTTGTTTCATTTTGTATAAGCTGTGACTGCACCTCATGCTTGATATCACTCACAGTTCTCTTCAGTTCCATCGCTTCGTCCACTTGGCCAACATGTCTTGCATACTTGGCACCAGCTTCCGCTAGTACTTCTTTAATTTCCAATGTTGATTCTCCATACGGTAGTGTATCTGCCAAATCCTTTGCAGTTTCATAATGATTATTAATGGCATTGACATCAATAGTCCTATAGCTCAGCAGAACGCCCACTATCTGAAAGAAAGAGGGTAAAACTTCAACATGAGAGTAAAAAGAAAAAAAAATGAATACACAAACACATGCCATTGGACTCACACCAGCAAGGCATTAAATTATAAGCTCTTCCTCAGATGCTGTCAAGAATCGACTTTGAGGATGTAATACTATAGTTATATATTCCTTTAAATACTTTCTGGTTCCTCATCGAAGCTTTTCAATGAGGAAAAACAGGCTCACAAAATAGCCAAGGGTTGACAGGAAATGAGAAAGCAGATGCTTTATCAATTATGCATGTAGGCACTTGGTGTATTATCTGGTTAATCTTAAATATTTATTTGGTATCTTCTTGCATGATTCCTTGGCAAGTGATACTTTATTGATGCTGCAAGAGGAATCGCCATGAGAATGAACTAGCTCCTAATCCAGTTAGATTTACGGTTACCAGGTAAGTAAAAGCAACTGATAAATGCAAGGGAAGGCAGAAATAGTTAATAACAAGGATTTCATGAGCTGATGCATTTTCATCCTACATGGAATGGCAATACGTACAAATGTAAAGCAGGCAGAAATAATTAATGACAAGGATTTCATGAGCTCATGTGCTTCTATCGTAAATAAAATGCCAACATGAAGATACCTGTGGACGGCATTTCCTTGTAGCTATATGCACAGCTGTATTGCCCTTCTTGTCACGTTCATTCAGTATAGACCGGTCAGCAAGCAAAATCTCCTCTACAATCGGAGTACACTGACCTTTTACAGCCATATGGAGTGCAGTTTGACCCTTTTTATCTTTTATGCAGACTATTCCTGGATCTCGATCTATAAGTTCTTTCCCAGTACGTAGGTGGCCATACCTTGCAGTTGTATGTAATGCAGTTTTACCATTTTTTCTCACTATCCTCATTGAGCTGACATCGGCATCCAAGATGACGTTAACTACCTCTAAATGGTCCTGAGCGGCAGCTGAATAAAGAGGGCTAGTGTTTGACGAGTCACACAATTTACAAAGCTCAGGCCAAATTGCCAATAGTGCCTTCACAATACCTGAATAAATAACAGTCAATACCCTATTCCAGATAAATTTATAAAAAAAAGAAATCCTTTCACCACTGCAGTGATTACCGTATACATATAGCATGGAAAATACAGAAATCAACTCAAAATGGCCACAAGATTGCAAAATTTCTTATACATTAACCTCTAGGATATATCACAGTAGCTTCAGTATATGCAAAGCAGATTAAGACAAACAAGACCTTCAAAATTATCATCTTTACCAGGTTAGCGATCCGCAATTTATCAGTGATTATTTATTATTTTCCTTGGCCTACAAACATATACCATATACTTGAGGAGATGACTTTTTTTTTCTTCTAAGCTTCCCTTCAAAATATGTCAAAATCAAAATCATAGTTCATTTTGGTTCTTCAGTTCGAAATACACTCCTTTATGGAAACAAACCAAAATAAATTTCTTTTTAAAGGAAAAAAACAAAGGAATTTCAACATGTCAGACTTGGGCATTATTCTGCTTGCAGTACAGAGAATTTGATCCTCTTACTAATCTCAAAAATTCACTCTAGGAAGGAAATTATTATTAATTATTGTACATACCCTTCCTTCAGCGTGCATAAAAATAACCAACCAATTCAACCCAATCAATTATCATCGCGCGAGCACACACACAAGCAAAGCTTAAGCACAGTAACAGTTAGAAAGCAATACCTAAGTGGCCACGCTTGGCGGCAACATGAAAGGCGTTCATATCATGCTTGGACCTGATCTTTGCAATCTCTATATTACAGAACTGGAGCAAGTAACTGAACACCTCCTCCAGATTATTCTCTGCAGCCACATACAGGGCAGTCTCGCCTGCATCGTTCTGCATCGCCATCAGATCAGAGACGAGGGACCCATTTGAGGGCTCGTCCTTTGTGAGCTTATCAACCACCTGTCTCACCGACCCAAGGTCGCAGGATCGAACGGCGGAGAAGAAACATTGGTGGGTAAGGAAACGCAGAGACTTTGAGTCCATCGTGATTCGTGGGAGTTAAAAAGATTTAATCTTTCAAAAAGTCTCAGCTTCCCTTCATCAACAGAGAGAGGGGGAGAAACTGGAAGACCAGCCGACCAGATATAACTTTAAACGAGTCGAGAGGAGAAGAAATGATGGTGATATATGAGGTGCGGTGTTTCAGTGCTCTGTCTTTCACTTCAGATATTGGATTCTTGGCAGTATTGATTTTATTTTGGGAGATTTGGAAAAAACAAAAGGAGAGAAATTTTGTTTAAAAGAAGCCAAAATAGACCTAAATTTACTTTTTATTTTTACTTTTTCAATTTTGATTGATTAATGGTGTATTTTTTTTAATCTGGTACAGAGATTGATTGATTTAAATTTAATGGTGTAGACTGTAAAGTGGGGTCCTTTTGGAAGGATATCATGTGCGGGCAGCGGAGTTAAGGAGAGAAACTCTCATGTAACATGGATAATATTTTTTGTTATTTATATTCAATAATTCAATGATATATAGGATAAATTTTTCATGTATAATTGTGTTATTGATCAGAAATAATAAAACAGTGGTATATCCATTACATATAAATTTTTTTGGAAGCCTTTAGATTCTCCTCCAATTTCAAGTCAATTTCAGGAGTGCAATTTTGCTCCTAGCATTTGGCAACATCATACTTACTCATCATTAACGTATTGTAATTGTATTTATTAAAAAAAAAAAGTGTCGTTATTAATAAACGTAACACATTGCATCATTTGACATGAAATACTAATCTCTAATTGGCAAAGCTTCTTTTTTTTTTTGGACGAAATCTTGTTTCATTAAATAGAAGGTCAAACGCCATATTACATCAAAATGAACTCAAATAATTGAGTTCACACAAAATGCAATGCATACAGACATAGCCTATTACAAATAAAACTAACAAAATACATAAAGTATACATAAAGGTATTAAGCTCACATAGAGGCGAATGGCCCACATAAAGGCAGAAAACCCACAAAATGCAAAAGCCCACAAAGCTCAACATAACATTAGGAAACCCTAACACCATTAACAGACTCTAATTGGCAAAGCATGAATATCTTTATCATGGTAGTTAAATTTGGCCATAAAGTTTAATATTTGTGAATTTGAGAGAGTTTTTATTTTTCACAATAATATTATGAGAAGAAAAAATAGAATAATGTTATTCTTATTACATTTGTATACTACATTTTTATACATTCGTATATAGTAGTGAAGTGGACAAACACATCAATTAAAATTAATTTAACATTTTCTTTTCTTTTATGATTTATTGATACTTTTTAATTGATATGATTGTCTACTGCCACATAAGATGATATGCGAATGTAATATACAAATGTAATAAGTATTACCCGGAAAAATATTTATCTTTAGTTCCATATACAAAATAATAAAGATGAAAAGAAATCAAAGAAATTATGCAAATCTTTTTCTGTTATATCCATTCAACATATTTGTGAGTATCAACATCAGGTTCCTTGAATCAGAATCCTATATCAAGTCTTGCAAAGTGTATAACCAACCAAAAGGCTCGATTGA